TCTGCTTCTGGCGGTGGCCGGGCCACACTTCGGGACATGAGATGCTCAAGGCTGACCTGGACTCGCCAAACATAGGGAGAACAAGCAGCGCAGCGCACCGGCCAGTGTCCTAGTGGGATCCTGTCTCCCTGTCCCTGGCCTGATTCACCACGTCCCAATCGATCTGCACCTCGGTCCAGTTGACGTCGCTGGGCTGGGGGTCGGCGTTGACGTTGACCTCGCGGCGCCCGTTGCCGCTGGACCTTCTGATTCTTGGCTGCTGAGGCCAGAGGGCCAGAGTGACAGCGACTTCCTGTCCTCCAGAGGCTCTTCTGGCGGTCCTTCTGCATTGGGGTTGCCCAGCAGGTTTGGGTCGCCCCAGCTTGATTCTTGATAAGGTGGACCAGCGCCTGCGCCGCTGTCGCGTGGGTCGTGGGCAGGCACGCCATCGGCACCAGTCCCACCGCCGCCAGCCCCGTGGGCAGACACCTCCATGGGCGCGTCGGCTTCCACCTCGGCTTCGTCGGCTGCCTGCTGGGGGACGGAGCGTTTCGGAATCCGCGTCAACCTTGGCGTCGCCTTGTACGCGGCGCTGGGGATTGCTGGTTTCGGCTGCCGCCTCAAGCCCTTCAAGACCTGCTCCTCCTAGTGCTAGCCCGTGCGCCTTCTTGACGTTGGCCTGCGCCTCGACAAGATGGCCACCGAGCTTCTTGAGCCGCTGCTTCTCGTGACGGATGCGTTCTACGATCTGGGACGATTGCTTCTCCAGGTCGCCGGGCTGGCGGACGCGCTTGCCCTTCTGCTGCTCGAGCTTATGCTTCGCCGCCTGGAGTGAACCCAGCGTCACGGCCTCTGGTTGTTCCACGTACTTGGCGGCCCGGTTCCCGAGCGTGACAACGATGTCCTTGCCTGCTTCGCCTCCTCCGACTTCGGCCTTCAGCACGTCGAGGGCTGCCTGTTTAGCTGCCACTGCCATGCGCTCGTTGAAGAATGTGAGAGAATTCCTGGGCTCCTCGATCTCTTGTGGCTACTGCTCGAATCGCCTGAGCTCCCGGGGCGTGCGCTTCGTGGCTGCCGCAGCTGATGGTGCCCACGCACCCCGTGGTGACGGTGTTCCACTGCGACTGAGCCCTGCGAGCTTGTAGTTTTTTGCGTGCCTCTCGCAAGATCTTGGAGGAGCACTTGCTGTCGCACTCGCGGCACTTGAGCCTCGACGCCCAGTTGCCGATGAAGCCACAGCGGCGCTGCCATTGCGGCATCCGCGGTCCTGGTAGAAAAACGTATTCTGCTTCTCGCGGCGGCCTCATGCTTCTACATATGGAGTGTCAGGGCAAGCCCTGGAAAACTGACCGCGGACCAGCAGAGTGAGCATCTTAAGCGCAAATGGCCACGAAGTGGTAGAGTAGAAGAGGGTTGGGTAGAGCAGAGTAGAGTAGAGCAAGGTGAGTAGAGTAGGACAGGGTAGAGAGACAGTGAGTAGAATAGGGCAGGGTAGAGTGAGCAGTCCACTCCGGTCCACTTCGTTTCAGTCTTCTGATCTAGTTGAAGCCTGCGCTGGCTGATTGCGGTAGTCTGGAACGTCCCAGATGTGATCCCCATCGGCTGGCTAGGTGGCAGAGCGGGAGTATTACACGAGCAAGGCATTTGGCTGGGAGGAGGGTGAGTGGGGTTGGGTGGGAAGTTCCTCGAGGTGCTGTGGGATTTGTGAACCAAGTACAAGGCATATGCGAAAGTGGACACCTCGCACTCGTCGCCCTCCGCTTTGTCCAGTGCGGGGAGACACCGGCCCATGATGCCCCGAGCCTCTTCGGTCAGGCACTCGAACTTGCAGCTTACCAGAGGCGGTGCGGGGCTACCGACAGCGTCGGCTCCTGTCATCTTGATTTCATAATCGACGACTTGCTGGACCAGCCTTGCAGCGACAGCAAGACACTCCTTCGCGTCCTTCTCGCAAACAAACCGCACCCTGCCAGTGGAGAGGTCGCAGTCAGCCTGCACCTGCGCCAGGCACGCCTTTTCCAAGAGGGAAACGCACTGCGCCCCCGTGATATTCAAGATGTGAGTGCTCATAGACTCCACATGTACGCGGTCGAACTTGCGGTACCATGCCGATTGCATACTCTCTCGAGCCTTATCCCCATAGAGGGCATACTTGACAGCCAAGGTGATAGACCTGCACATGGCGAGCAGCAGGAGGAAAGATGCATCCCAAATGTTGGCATCCCACAGCAAGCTGCAGATGAAGTACGGCCAGAAGATACACATGGCCCAAAGATCGCTATGAGCCAGCACTCCACGGTACGGCCAAGACCAGTTGGCCCACTTCTCAGCGCGACACATCTTGATCACTAGCAGTAAAGGGCCTGAGATAAAGTACGGCAACATCTCGATCATCGCCGTCTTGAAGAACGCCCCCGCGTCGAAGCGCAGCGCTGTCGAGATCTCCACTTGACAAGCCCGCCAGTAATGCTCGAAGATCGGGGAGAAGAGCTCGGCATTCTGGGACCTTCCCAAGTAACACCAGGGGGTCAACAAAGGGAGGTCGCCACCTCATCGGGGAAACGGGTCCCCCTGGACGCCCTAGAAAACCCCAGGACTCCCAAAAATGCCCAATCCAAAAGTTGATCGATCCCTCCTCGTCCTCCTCGGCCATCGATTTCCAGGGAGGTGGTGACCCCCCCCACCAGTAGCCCCCAAGAACTGCGAACGGGCAAATGTTAGGGAGCAGACCTGCTCAGGGGGGAACACCAGCGACTTGGAACCGGCGGAACTTCGCCGAAAGATGGGCGCAAGGCCCTCGATGGCGAGTCCGCATCCTCTTGGGCGGGGCGGGCTGTCAGGCCCCTTTTACCGGCGATGAATGGGCGGTTGGGGGCCGATGCGTCCCCCCCGAGCCACTCCCCCCGAAGGTTGCCCCTCGTCCCTAGGCTAGCAGGCCCCTTACCGGCGATGAATGGGCGATTGGGGGCCGATGCGTCCCCCCCTGAGCCACTCCCCCCGAAGGTTGCCCCTCGTCCCTAGGCTCCTCGGCTTTCAAGTCATAGCGCGGCTCGGCTCCACGGCGGCTCTTCAGGACGATCCAGGCACCATCTGAATGCCTCAGGCGAGGCGCAGCCGCTGGGGGGCATCCCGAGGCTGCTGGAAAGCCGCTGAACATGAACGAACACGCCAGAAACCTCGACCCTCGAACCCGCAGCCTCGACCGTCCCCCCCCCCCCGAGCCTCTATTCCCACTGCCCTGGTGCCCCTGAAACGGGAATGGCCTAAAGCACAAACTTTCGGAGCTCCGCGCGGAGCTCTTGGATCGGCGCTGGATCCCCTCCGTGGCGCGCGGGGGGGCGCGCAAAGCGGCGGCGTCCGAGGCGCCGCCCAGGGGACCCAGCGCCGCTACAAGAAACACGCGCGGAGCTCCGACGGTTCTGCCGATGAGCCCACTTCCCCTCTGGTGCAACTAGGTGGCGACATCCGAACCATACTCCGGATTTCGTAATAAAAGGGAGGGGGTCTGGACCCTCCAAGACAAGCCATTTCAGACCTCCCCCGTGGGAGAACCCTCCAAAACATCGTCCCCAGACCCCCCCAGGCCCTCCAAGATAGCCTGGAAGAGACCCCCCCCGAAATGAGACGCCCCTCCCTTTATTACGAAATCTGGAGTACTCCCACCAACCATCCATGCTCCTGAATCGACGGGAGGCGGGGCTGGGGTCCGGAATCCGCCACGTGTCCCACAAGTTCCGAACCCCGACCCCGCCGCACATGGGGCTGCCTGAGTCGCTGATCGGCGAGGGTCGGGTTCGGATTTCGCCGCCAAG